CTAGTAGTAACAAGTGCCTTACTGGTAGTAACAAGAAGCTACTAGGAACTGCCCTGTGGCGGAAATCCAACGCTTCCAACGCCGTTGCCCCATGCAGCACGACCGTCAATGTTGGTTCAAGAGAAACGTCCAACCACTTGGATCAAACCCCCTAACCCAAAAACATACAAAAACTAAAACGATACAAAAACGTTGATTTGTCAGTGGGTTTCTGGGAGTGGCATGACCTTTACAGTATTTTTGGCCAGGCCATGACTTGGAATTTACACCAGTTTTGACACACGGTTTTTTAGCTCAGGCGGGTGCATGTGGCACCTCAGAGTGCCTGGGAGTCGCGGATTTTCAAGACGAAGGCTAAGCTGGGATTGGTTGGTGGGTGAGGCCTGGTGAGGCACGTGCCTGGCAGGACTCATGAATTCAGAAGTTTCGGCCTGGTGCATTCCCAGCAAAGCTGGTATATGGCCATATGGCCATATAAGTAGCCATCCAAGCATGGGAGCTTTCTTCTGCCTTTCTGGAGGTTCTGGCATCATTCTTAACTCGCGGATTCGTTTTAAGTTCGCCACACTCGGACCGTTTCACTTGCACCGTTTGGTCCCGATCCATGCAACCCCAAGAACAGCACGAGCCTCTCTCCACGACGTGTCGTGGCAAAACGAAACGACCCCCAACACGAGCCACACGACCCAGTGCCGAACCAACCTTTCATCCGTGGCCTAACGGCCTTTGCCTGCCTAACGGCCTGCCTGTTGAACCCGGGCAGTTCCGACTCGTGATCCAGCTGGAGAAGAAGGACTCGTCGTTCCCACGCTCCTCCGCAGGGTTCCGTGCGCTGGGACTTCGCCCGGGCCGGCGTGGTGAACGAGAGCGACCTGGAGGCGACACGCCGCCCGAGTGAGACCTGTTGCGGGTTTGCTGCGGGTGGGTCCAAAGCATGGACCGTTGGAGGATTCGGTGTTGATTTGATGAATGAATGCCATGCGAAAGCAGTTGAAAAGTGGAAAAAGAGATGAAATGAGTAGGGAGGAAGTGAGCCGAGAACGAGGACATGGCATTGACATGTAGGGCGGATGCCGGCGGATGCCTACCTTCCTTATCTCTGAAGGTAGGCCCACGAGTCCACTTTTGAGCGCAATGGATCCTGGATGGCATAAACTTGCCTTCGACTCAGTACCAGTTGGTGATCAGAGCCAGTCAGACACCGCCAGCCAGGCACTGTTGGAAACTTCTAATAGATACTAACAAGTGCATCGCTAGTAGTAACAAGTGCATCGCTTCTAGTAACAAGTGCCTTACTAGTAGTAACAAGAAGCTATTATTTATTTTCTACTTATCATTATCATCATCATCATCATCATCATCATCGTCCTCCTCCTCGCTCATTGTTGGAATCGGCTCGTTCGTTTCGACCCAAAGCCGTGTCCGGTGTCCCTGCTTCGGTCCTCGCCAGGCGGCCAAGCGAGCTCTCTCCGACCGGGCCGAGGTGCCGCCAGTTGGTGCATCGGAACGGGCAAGGGAACTCTGTAGAGTCAACTGACTTACTGTACTTTTCATGAAACAATACGAGCATTCTGTCTTTCTTTGTTGCTAGTAGCGAACCTTGTTACTAGTTATGGCAGGAGCTTTACGTAATTAGTGCCCTTGCTACTAGTAGCCCGTGTTACTAGTAGCTTCCTGAGAAGTTCTCCACCCATTCAAGAAGAACGTGGGAATTCTTAGGACGTTTTCTACGTTGATCTGCAAAGAAGGAGCCCTCGGGAAATCGCAAGCCAAACAAGGATGCATGTCGTTGCCAAGCTTTGTAGATCCATGAAGCGAAAGAGAACGGCAAGTTTGCCCAACCTTTGAATCACAGCGGCCGAACAAACAGACAAATACAACACCATCCATTCCAGAATTCCCTGTCCCTGTCTATCCTCCCTTTCTACCATCACCCAAATCCTCGACTCAGACGGAAACCTCTGGGTCAGGCACACCGCGCTCGTTGCCTCACCTTTTGGGCTTCCAACTGCTTGAGAGTCTCCGTCCTGAACGAGCCGCTGGGACCCTGCCAGACCGCCGTGGATTTCGCGCGGAACGGTTGGCCGTCCGAGGCCGATGGCCATCCGTGGGTTTTCGGTCAGCTTTTAGTGGGGAAGCTGAACGATGCAAAACACGATTTAGTACCATTTGCTGGCCACGTCGTTTAAAGACTGCCTGTCAGCAACATCGTAAATGGCTATAGCATATCGCATCATATCGCCAGATCCCAGGTTAGACCACATGCTGTTGAGCTACCCCACCTTGACCTTGAGCTTGGACGCTGTTTCTCGGCGCTGCCAGTGCAATCCTTTGCTTGACCGCTTCTGAGCCCCCAGTTGCCAGACATCCTCACATTGGATCAAGGGTGCAACCATCTGGCACACATGTTTGCAATCACTTTCCTGAGGGTGTCTTTTTCATAGGCTTAGCAACTTAATAGCTTGATCTTAGACGAAGTAGCCCCACAAGCGGTGCATTAGACTCAGCATGACTCAGCCATGGCTTTGATGTGGAAGATCATGCCGCATGTCATTCCTGCCGGGAGCGAAGCGAGCGAAGCTCAGGATTGGCGGAAAGCGGACGATGCAACATTGGCAGCTTTGGCCAAGGCTGGATGAGTAAAGCGATGTGGTGGATTCTTGTGCTGCTCCTGTGGGAGATGAAGCAAGAAATAGCGTAACCTATAGGGCGAGGTAGCTAGTAGTAGACCATGTGACACGCCCGTTTCGTTTCGTTTGCTTTTTCCATTCTTGAGACGGCGCATGTATGCCAGAGTTGGAGAGTCAGCGATTCTCACTGTCTCACTCCAGGTGTTGATCAAGCACCGTGATCGCTGCAAGTTCCGCACAGGCTGGGGCTGACTGCCGCGGTAGCTGTTGGTCCAAGTTCAAACCCTTTCATCAGTCCTTTCATCATGATTCGAGCAGTGCTCCTTGGGCATTGTTCAGACTGCCACTGACCTGCACCCTTGCTCATGCAATCACAGAAGCTGAGCAGACCTCACCCGTAGAGGAACATTGCTTTTCCAGAGGCCTAAGTGTGTCACTTCCATGACTATTTCAGGAAGCGCAGTGGTTCACATGTTCTTCACACTGTGGATGTGACGGTCCCACCCAGTAGGGTCCCATCTCTGTCTTCTAGCACCGCTTCATGCGTTTGGACCCCGAGTCGGGCAGCGAGTCTATTCGAGCCGAGGAGGGCAAGCGCTCTCCTTGCCGGTGGCCACGGTGACCACGCTCAACAGCTTTGGCGAGTCCTTATCCTCGCACCATGAGGTCCCGATGACCGCGGTCCGCACCGCGGACCAGACGGACTGGACGTCAGACGCGCGGGAAGCAGCAGGGGCATCTTCTGAATGGCCCAGGGAGAAGCCCAAAGGGACCCACAGTCCTCAGGTTGAAGTGGACATAGTTTGAGGATGTTCGAATTCGAAGAAGGGAGACCAAACATCAGGTACTGGATGGCGTTTCATGCTGTTTCCGAAGATGAACACATGTATTTTCCTGATCGCTCGGGCGATCGCTCTGAAATCTGGCGTGTTCAAGCAGTGTGGGTAGTGTGGGTTTGCATTTTCCTCTTCCAGGGGGGTGTAGACTGTAGGATGGCGGTTCGTGTGGGTTTCCCTGTTCTACCAAGCCGGATGTTGTGGGACCCACGGCTCCCCCAACCGCTTCAGGTGGACGTGGTGAGCTTCGAGAAGGGGAAGGAGGTCCACGAGCCCTGTCGTGTAGCCTTGGCGCCCTTGAGGCGCGCAGCGAATCGGCCCGTTTTCCGCGCCCGACCGGTGACCAGATCGCCACACCTTCCGAAGAGCCCGAGTCGCCGCCGGTGGTCGGTGTTCATGTTGCGAAGAGCGGCGCCTGAGAAGACGATCCCAGAGGGTGTGGGATTTGGCCTTCATAAGGCACCGGCACGACCCGATCCCAGCGCCTTCCAGGAAGGTCGGAAACGTGTTCCTTGCGAAATGGGTTCCGAACTGCGGCGAGGCTGGGCTCCACTGAGATGGTCTTCAACCGACAACCGCTGGGTGATATGGGCTGCAGCCTTGTCCCTCGCCAGGAAATCCCGCGACCATCGACCGCAACCATCGGTGTTCAGAAAGCCAGTCCCAACTCACGAACCATGGGAGTCAAAACCCCATCTGAACTGCTATTATAGAGAGTTTTTGTTCTGCCAGAGTCCACCCTCCACGTGTCGTTTCGCAATGGGAGGAGCGTGGGGAGTAGCGTGTTTTTTTTCGACAAGACGAGTCACTTGGGAGTCGAGTCGGTGCGAAAGCACGCCTCTGAGGCCTGCGGCTTCGTGCGACCCTGGGGCGGCCGGCTGCAGATTGCGAGGCCGGTCGAATCAAAGAGAGGTCATGTGGATGTTCCCGCGGGGCGATGTAAGCCCTTGTTGGTCTCGAGACCGGACTTGTCATGCTGCTTCTGGTACTTCATCGTCCAGATCTTCTGGTGGTGAAGTTTTTTGGATGGCTGGGTTGGCGCGACACTGCTGCCATGTCATGTATTCCTGGGTGAGCTGATTTCAGGTCAAATTTAAGATAAGCCCCAAGCACACTAATACTTCCATAGTGGAAGCCCATGAATGGAAGCCCCGTTCTTTGCCTCACTCACAGGTGAAACATGGTGGGTTCCACCCCCACCCCGGCCCCGCCCCTGAGCGAGGCTGGTGGAGTGTTCAATCGGCGACCTGGGCTGTGGCTTCCTGGCACGGCTCTTGGCGCATGCGCGGCAGCCGGCGGCGAAGCTTAAGGAGCTCAACCTGATCCTTGGATATCCTTTGGACTTCGGATTTTTGGGGTGGATTGGCGAAAGCTAGCTGGCATGAGCTCACGTTTTTGGAGCCATTCATTTTTTGTTTGAGGCACAGGGTCCAACCTGCATAAAGTATAAAATCTTTGAGTTGGCACTCTAACTGGTATCCTTTTGGTATCCTTTTGGGTTCGTTTTGGAGCAGCAGTCTGAAGAGCTGTTAGTCAGAGGAATATTTCTCAAAAGTGCGGGCCAACTGCGAAGAGCCACTCGCCGCCCCACAGCACAACACGAGCATCTCAAAACGGATGGTTTGTGCCCCGCCAAGGAGCGCCAACAAGTTCGGCGACCGTGGTGTGGTGGAGACCTGTCCGTGTCGAAGACCGCGTGACACCGCGCCGGTATCTGGGAGGTCCGTTGGAAAGCACACCGGCACGCTGGGAGGAGGTGCTGGGTCTCCATGTTCAGAATCAACAAAGAATCTTTCTCAAGAACTCTAATTAGATCATATTATATAGATCATCTTAAACTGGAGTTCGATCAACCCGACCTGAAGAAGACACATGTGTTTTTTTCGGGATGGCTCCAAGCCATCTCTCAGGGGCCTCCTCACGTGCGAAGAAGAACGGTGCTTCAGGAGCTGGCAGATGCGTTGCCTGTCCTAGACTCCCTGGAGAAGCTGTTGCTGGAACGGAATAACATTGGTGTCACTGGCGCCCAGGCGAAAGGTTTTCCTTCACGCCGGGCCGCACCACGTCGGCCATACACGTCAGCGACCCGATATCCGGTTCGGCCGGCCCAGGAAGGTGACTCCGGATGTCAGACTCGTGTGGGACTCTTTTTTCAGCTCTCAACTTCACCTAGGACACCACAGAGGGGCACCATAGTGACTATTAGTGATGCCTTCATCTATCTATTTTGGACGCCGCATTGGAAGGGTTCTGCCTGTGGCACCACCGCGCCAGGCGCTGGCTGGCAGGTTACCGCGCAGCAACGTACGGGAGCGCCCTTGTTTTCTTCCAACTGCCCCGCGTGGCCGGGGGAGAGGGTCGTTTGAGCGAGTGACCAGTCCTGACCAGTCTGAAAGCGATTTTTCACGTGAGAAGATAGAAGATGCCGTGGTTTCATCATGGTCTGTTTGCAATTTTTTGATGTCTTCTTGACTTATACCAGAAGTCACGACTGGTGTGATTTGGATATTTCAATGATATTTCTGGAATTGTCCTGCGTCACCCGACAGAAGGGTTCTGTTTCCACTTCGTGAAGCAACCAGTTCCCTGGTGCCTCACTAAAACGACGCATTTCGCGATTTGGAAGATGTGTCCTTTTTCAAGGCAAATGAGCGTGGCTGAAGCAACCTGAGCCATCCTGAACCTCTCCGCTTCTCAGAACGGGTTCGAGCTGGGTTGGGATTCTGCAGGAGTTGGTGATGGGCACACACTTGGGCGGCAATCCAATTGGAGCGATGGGAGTCCAGGTGCCAAGCGCAGAGTGCTTGCTGAATGTGTGTGTGTGTGTGTGTGTGTTTGGATGTGTTTGGATACATTCGATATTCTGGGGGATGAGAACTTGATGAATTGACGAACAGGGCCGGGCCAAAGGATTATCTGCCATCAGGTTTGTCGCTAGATTTGGCCAGATGTGTCCTCAACTTTCTCCACAGGCCTTGGCCCACGCGCTGAACGACGCTTTGGCGCGCGCGGCCGCGAACCGCGAGACGCGGCTGGAAGCGTTGGCCCTGGAGGATTGCCAGGTGGGCGAGGAGGGCGCCAAGGCGGGTGGGCGCACCAGCGAGCGATCAGCGAGCGGCTCGCCAGCGCGGCCATCGCCATTGGGAGACACATGGAGTCATGGAGCGCTTCTTGATTGCCAGGGATGGGGATGGGAGGTGTTTCAGGTGCTTGAGGTTGTGGAAGGCGGGCAAGGAGTGAGAGTGGGTGGATGATGTGGATGCTGCGAGTCCACCCCACCGTAGTAGCGATGGCCTCGGAGCTGATAGCAATGGTCTCCACTCGTAGCTCGTGTGGCCTAATGGATAAGGCGCCTCCCTCCTAAGGAGGAGATTGTGGGTTCGAGTCCCACCTCGAGTATATTCATCCATGTTGGCGTGGAGCAGATGGGCCGTTGAGATGGAGAGGCCAGCGGAGGTGGCGACCCTTTGTCGGCAACTGAGGTGGACTCAACTGCGGCTCTGGCGCAAGGGAGCACAAACATTGAGCTGCCCAGGACTTGAAGCTGGAGAGGCCGACGCCTTATCCATTAGGCCAGCAGCCCTTTCTGATCAACTACCTGTCAAGGGCACAGTCTGCCCCTCTCAAGGAAAGATGCCCTTGTCAGAGACCAGGCGAGCGCCAGAGAGCCACAGCTGAAGCCACCTCCATGCACCAGCCGAAAAAAAGATCCATCCCAACCCACAACATCTCCACCTCCACAGCCTCCGCTCCTCCCCCAGAGCCGCAATTGAGTCCACCTCAGTTGCCAACAAAGGGTCGCCACCTCCGCTGGCCTCTCCATCTCAACGGCCCATCTGCTCCACGCCAACATGGACGAAAATGCTCGAGGTGGGGCACCTCATCCATTAGCGAGCTACGATGCACTGGCTCTACGGCTGGCCATGATGCACACCACGTGGCCAACTGCAGAAACGCTCCTCAAAAAAGACACAACTCATCCCCTTCAAGCCCCCCTCCTTGCCCAATCTGACTATGATGAGCATGGTGCACAGATATGCAAACCTCACATCATCGATGCCACTTGCGTGATCAGCCATTCGTTGCCACTGCACCTACCACCACAAAAACCCTCATTGCCACTGACACCACGATGATCACTGTCACCAACCATTTACCAGAGCCACCATAACTGCAAGCGCAGCACCAAACCACGCGCCTCGCGACAGCACACTTGCAGAATCTCAAGCCACAGCAAGCCGGTCAAGGGAGCTCCGCCTCCGGAGGCCAACGCCTTATCCATTAGGCCAACAGCCCTTTCTGATCAACTACCTGTCAAGGGCACACTCTGCCCCTGACACGCAACACTATCCCCCCGCCTCCTCAAGGGAAGATGCCCTTGTCAGAGATCAGGCGAGTGCCAGCGAGCCACAGCTGAAGCCACCTCCATGCACCAGCCGAAAAAAAAGATCCATCTCAACCCACAACATCTCCACCTCCACAGCCTCCGCTCCTCAACGCCAGAGCCGCAATTGAGTCCACCTCAGTTGCCGACAAAGGGTCGCCACCTCCGCTGGCCTCTCCATCTCAACGGCCCATCTGCTCCACGCCAACATGGATGAAAAACACTCGAGGTGGGCCTCGAGCCCACAATCTCCTCCTTAGTAGGGAGGAGCCTTATCCATTAGGCCACACGAGCTACGATGCATTGGCTCCACGGCTGGCCATCATGCACACATCGTGGCCAACTGCAGAGACGCTCCTCAAAACAGACACAACTCATCCCCAGCACTGCTCAAAAATGTGGCTTTCTTCAAGCCCCCCTCCTTACCAAGCTCTTGCTCCCAGTAGAAAGGCCAGGCGCCCCCAGCTCTTGCTTCCTTTTCATCCTTGGGCACGTGGCCTGCACTACCAACCGGCAAGAAAATGCAAGATCAATTTTTGGAGTGTTGGCAATCTGACTATGATGAAGGGGTCTAATGACATGGTGCACATTTGCAAACCTCACATCATCGATGCCACTTGCGTCATCAGCCATTTGTTGCCACTGCAACTACCACCACAAAAACCCTCATTGCCACTGACACCACGATGACCACTGTCACCAACCACTTACCAGAGCCACCATAACTGCAAGCGCAGCACCAAACCACGCGCCTCGCGACAGCACACTTGCAGAATTTCAAGCCACGGCGAGCCGCAAACAGTGAGCTGCCCAGGACTTGAGCTGGAATCTCCGCCTCCGGAGGTGGACGCCTTATCCATTAGGCCAACAGCCCTTTCTGATCAACTACCTGTCAAGGGCAGACTCTGCCCCTGACACGCAACACTATCCCCCGCGCCTTGTCAAGGGAAGATGCCCTTGTCAGAGATCAGGCGAGCGCCAGCGAGCCACAGCTGAAGCCACCTCCATGCACCAGCCGAAAAAAGATCCATCTCAACCCACAACATCTCCACCTCCACATGGCCTCCCAGCTAATAGCCATGGCCTCCACTCCACCCTAGTAACGATGGCCTCCCAGATGATAGCAATGGCCTCCACTCCACCCTAGTAGCGATGGCCTCCCAGC